ACGTGTTTAACTTTTACCAGTTAAAGCCAACACAATAAATTAATATCTAAACCATATGCATTATAATTTCAACTTAATATTATATATATATATATAGAAGTAAATAATAAGTTGTCATACTTTGATCAGATTTTGCAGGTGTTCCCGAACTCCATGGGGTTTATTGAGGGAATGGTATTTTGATTTCTTCCGGCGCATCGAATGCGAAACCAACCCAAGTGACACACTGTATAGCCGAGTCACGTTAGCCATAGGCGCAGCGAGCGCACCCAAGAACCCACTCTTAGCCTGAACCAACCCATCGAAGCACGTCTGCTGGTTAGTGACGACTCCACTCAGCAGACTCGTGACTCGGTCCACCAGCTCCCCGCTCATCGACTCAGCCGCCTTGAGCTCCGCCGACACTGTCTCCAGGTAGTCGACACTGAGCTCCGCCAGCTGAGCGCAATCCGAGAGTGCCCCCAGCTCCAAGTGGGTCATCCACGGCCGCTCATGGGCGAGGTAGCTGTGGATGACTTTAGCGAGACGCTTGGCTTGTTTGACGCATTGCTTGACTGAGAATTTGCCGTAGGTGTACGGATCGGAAGGGGAGGATTTGAAGGCGGAGAGGATGGTTCGACAGAGTTTAGGGTAGGGAGTGGATTTGCAGGGGACGGAAGGTGGCTGTGGCGATAGCTGTGACGGCGATGGTGAAGGTGACTGCTGGGGGGCGGATAGCAGAGCCCATGAGAAGAGGAGGCAACAGAGAAGGATGAGGGAAGGGGAATGAGAAGTCATTCTGATCAGTTTTATTTCAGATTGAAGCTTGCATGGATAAATATGTATACATATATATAGAGAGAGAGAGAGAGGTGATGGGAGAAACAGAAAGCGCGTGAAGAAAATAATATAAAAATGGTAAGGGGATGGGGACGTTAGAGAGGATGGAAATAAATGGCAGAGAAGAAGCAGAACGTGGAAGGGAAGGGAAGGCACATGATACGAGTACGTACCGGTGGATGATTTTTGCTGTGGAATTATTACAGTATGGTTAAATATATATAGATATATATATATATACATATACCAACTACATATCTTTTTTTAAAAGAAAAAAATTATGTTCTATTACTTTTTAAAAGACATTTTATGGTTGAACTAAAACATTTTTAAATCTATATATAAATAATAATTATTTTTCAAAAATTAAATAATATAAAAAATTATGTTATAATAAATATATATGCATTATTTAAATAATAAAATTATATATTTTAATTAAAAAACTATTTTACTTAGTGAGATCTCGAGCTTATAAAATATGTTTGTCTCTCCAAATTAATTACTTGATTTGATAATTACCAAATTATTTAAAATTATTAAAAAAATACGTATTTAAAAATAATATATTATTTTAAGGTGTGATCGTGACATTAAGGACGTCAACCATATAGAAGATTATTTCGTGCACGACCGCCCACACCTTCTTCAGCATGACTTTTGAGGAGTGTCTCTGCACCAATTTATAGAACCAGTACAGTTGGTGCTCTTCCTTCTAGGATTGGAGGATGATCTTTGACATCACTTGCTGGTTACTTTGGAAGCAACGGAATGTCTTTGTTTTCAATGGCCAGCTGCTCAGTGTGAATGAACTGAGATGTGATATTTTCATGATGATAGAGTATACTTTTCAGGCCTGCAACTTTAGCTCCAAGTTATTAGAACGCCCTCGCCAAAAAAATGCAATGTTAATTAGTTGGCATTCGCTACCCTTGGACTAGATCAAGATCAACATAGGTTGGGCCCTCTGCGAGACCAGTGACGTTGCTTGTGCTGGGGCTTTGGGTTGGGATTATGGGGGGCATTGGCTCGGCGATCGGATCTGGAAAATTGGGTCTTGTTCGGTTATTCAGGCAGAGCTTTGGGGCGCCTTGGAGGGGTTTGAGCTTATTTGAAATCTCGAATTGTGTCATGCTATCTTGGAGATGAATAATACCATCGCTGCCTAACTTTTGAATAAGATGATCAATAATGAAACGATTGATACAAATAGAAACTCCAGCCTACTACTCGCAATCAAAAATTGACTTATGAAAGATTGGATTATTGAGGTACAACATACATACTGAGAGGGTAATAAAAACGCTGATTATTTGGCTAACTTGACTTATGATGGACTCATGGGAGGTCATTTCTTATTATAACTCCTTCTTGAGTATTCTCTATGAGGATATACTTGATATTTTCTGACTCAAATCATGTAATAATTATATTTAATTATTTTCGTTAGCTCTTTTATTATTTTTTTTCTATATAAAAAAAATTAAGGAGAAAAATGCAAACATAAATATGATTAAATTTAAATTCAAAAATGATAATTTCACACATTTCATTAATTACCTTCAATAATCTAATTTTCTAATAAAATTATAAAAATTCGAATTCAAACTAATATAAAAATAATAATTCTAAAAGTAAATATCTTCTACATAAATATAATTAATTTATTGAAAATTTTTATTAAAAAATCATACAAATAAAATTTAAAATATCCTAATTACATTTACGTTTATTTCCACCTTATTGAAATTATAAAGAATTTAACTTGAAGAGTCATTTTTTATTTATGCGCCTTTTTTAGTGCGCTCGTATTACCTGGATTTTCTCTTTAACACGGGGACATGGCGTTGACCGTTGACTTGGAAAAGTCATGAGCCATGCACATGCACATGCAATCGCGGTTTAACTTTTGACCAAATTTGGGACCACCGTAAATTAATTGCACTTGGAGACTATATAAATATATTAAAATATATTTTATTTTAAATTTTGAAAACAATTATTTTATAAAGAAAAAAATTCATATTAAAATATTTTTGCTAATTTATATCTCAAATTTATACAATATAAACAAAAATTTAAATGAAAATATAATACAATAATTTTAATCCATTTTTAACGTTCATTTTGTGCTTGTTTTATTAAGAAGAAGGAACAAAAATTGATAATTATGAATTTATTGATATGAGTTATAAAGTTAATTTTAATTATATATAATTTAGGTAATATTTATATTAAAGTAATAATTGTATTAAATGGAAATTCTAAAATAAAAATTAACCAAATATAAGGAAAGTAAGTGCTAATTATTTGTGATTACAAACAAATTATTAATATTCATTCCGAATTTCTCATTTCAATCAACCGACACCTTTAAGTTCGGCAAAACAGGAAAACAAAACAGAACTGAAAAGAATATATATATATATATGTATATGTATATGTATATATGTATAATAAATATAAGAAAAATTTAAAAGAAAAAGAAAAACAAATCAATAAGATCTTCACAAGAGAATCACTTCACTTAAGACCAGACAGGAAGGGAATTCCCGCATCCGAAATCCATTTCTCGCCATTGATAAAAGACTTGACTGTAAACTTATTAGCCACCTTCGTCGTGATATTAGTCTTCAATCCCTTCCACTTAACTCGATTCCTCGTGGAAGAACCCGACCCGAAATTCTGAAACTCAGCATAAAAAATCGTGTTCGGAGCCGAGTTTCCAACCCACGGCAACCATCCTCTACTATCAATCAAGCTCCCCATCATGGACCGCATGAACACAGTCGTAGAGTAGTTCTTCCACGGCCGACCCAGATAAGTCTGGACGGAAGTTAGGTTTTCGGCGGGCCAAATTGTACAGTTGTGGATAGAAATGCCGGTGTTCTGATTCGGGTCGAATCGGCCTTGGGCGGTGATGGTGTTTTGCTGGCCGAGCATGGGGCGTTTAGGGAGAATGTTGCAGTTTTGGAGGACGACGGCGGAGTTTCCAAAGATGAAATCGACGGTGCCGTAAATGTTGCAGTCGCGGTAGAATTGGCGGTTGGCGTGGGCGTAGAGAGTGTCTTGGTAGCCGTCGATTTTGCAGCGGTAGAAGGTTGTTTGATCGGCGCTTGACATTAATGCGACGGCCTGATGCTTGATTGCGCCGGCGGTGTTTCGGAATCCCATTTCACATGCCATGAAACCCTTCCCGAACACCGCTGCACAAGACAATCCATATAATATTGTTATAGTTAATTAAAACTAAAATTTTATTTTATATTTAAAAAAATTTAAATTGATAACTATTGTATGTATAATCAAAATAAATTATAATTAATTAAAAATTAAATTATATTTTTATATTCAAGAAATTAAAAGTGATACTTATAATTATTTTTCCGTAAAGTTTCTTAATTAATTGATGATTAAGATAATTAAATTATTATATTAAATAATAAAATAAAATTAGCACATGTCGGTTTCATGTATTACTCATATATATGTATATATTAATTTCTAGTAATAATTTAAAACTAACCAATGAAATTTTTATTAAGTTTGAAAAGTAGTAATGTAAATTTTAAAACTTTTCTTTGAAATTTTATAAACTATTATAAATCTTAATATTTCATGAATATCGGATAATATCTTGTTAATATTCTTTCTAATATTATATAACATGCATATAATAATAAGATATAACTCAGATAAAATTATTTATATTAAGATTATATGTGATAATTAAAATGGTTACATATTAAATATATAAGATTGTTTTTGAATCGTGAATGCATTATTGAACGCTAGATAAATTAAAAATGTTCAAGAACTGTTGAGCAAAATTTTCATTTAATAAAAATAGAGTAAACTATAATTTTATATGTAATTAAATTGAACTAATTGTGTTATTTAAATAAAATAAAACGTAAACTTATAACCTAACAAAAAAAAAAATATATATTTATATTAATAAATTTTGTAATTGAGGACCCTATATGAAAAGTAAATCAGGATTAAGTTTTCTTCAATGTTCTTATATATATGATTTGTCTCATTGATAGTTATAATTTCGAAAAATGAGAAGAATTAAAAAAACCCAGTTGCAACTTCAAACAATAAACATATATTTCTAATATATACTATTTATTATAATGTCTCCATCTTTAGTTGTGTTTTATATTTTATGTAATTAATTTTGTATTTAGATTGATATAATTGATTCTAACATGCCATAATATGTATAGTATATTAGAGTTAGTAGAAGAATTTAATGATTACCAAAAGTTGCAGACTGAAAGGTCCGAGTTCCATCAACAAAGTTGAGACTTGCAGAAACAATGGTGGATTCCATGCCATCACCGACCATTACAACATTCCACTTATTTTTTTCCACTCTCACATTCTCATTATAAACACCCTTCTTTACATATATTACCGTCTTCTTCTTCTTCTTCTCCCCCACAGCTTTAAGAGCCTCTCCAATGCTTTTATACTTCCCGCTTCCATCTTTCGCCACAACTATATCCGCCTTCTTCTTCAAATCCCTAACCTCAACCAGCTTTCGAGATACCCACTTCGGCACTGAAACGGCACCATTTGGCAATGAACTCATCAGTCTCCGGACATTAATGGAGTTCGCGAGCTTCGAAAGCCATGTAATAATGGCGAGACTGTTGCTGGTCAACTCAGTACAGTTCTTTAAATGGTTAAAAACATCAGCCTGCAGCTCCGTGGAATCTTCAATGTCGTCCATGCAGGTTTGCTGGTAAGTTCCGGCAGCGCTCAGCCATGTCCGGAGATCTTCCGCGGCTTCTACCAATGAAACCTCGCTCGACGTGGAAAGTGATTCGGTGAGATGATCGATTGCCAGATTAAGAAGCTGGTCGCAATTCTCCAAAGCAGCAATCGTCTTCTGGTCATGAATAAACCTTTTGAAAAATACTTCACTAAAGTACTGAGAAGCTCTGGAGAGCTCATCAATGGCGACTTTGATGGACAACTTGAAGAGGTCTTCGGGGTGGGTGTAAGAAGAGTTGGCGGCAGGGGCGATACTGTTGTAACAGGTGTCTTTATACAAGGTAACATCGCAAACGGCTTTAATCGAAGAAGTCAGAGGAGGATTAGACCCGCCATTTTTGGAGCTTCCACCACGAGTGGTGGTGGTTCCGACGACGGCAGCAACAACCACGACGACGAGGATGATGGAAGATAGAGTGATGATGGTGATTCTCTTTCTGGTTTTTCGACGGGAGTCGAGTCTTGCTTGATCGGCCTCGTTGATCTTGCCGTATGTGGAGTCCATGTTCATCATTGTAGTATTGCAGGGGTTCTGGTTTACAGGAAGTTTGGACATGGAGATGTTTATATATGTTTGTGTGCATATATGTATGTGTTAAGAGGTTAGTTTAACGCGGGGGGGAATACGTGCCAGGCACTAAAGATTCCCATGGCTAGCTACTCAAAGACTATGTATTGAAAGTTCAACTGTCTTGAGAGAGTGCTTCTCATGTTTGGAACATATATATATATATATATATATATATAATATAGTGGACATATAAAAATCCAATTCTCTAATTATATATGTAATGAATTTACCAAAAAAAGGAGTTCGAATATTCTAAATAAATAACAAATATGGGTTTTGAATCCATATATTTTATTCGATCAACTTTAATTAAATAGATTAATCAAGGGAGAATTTGTGTTGATTTTTTTACATTAATTAAATATATTTATTTACTCTCAAAACCACTGCAATAGATCCAAATAAATTTTATTAATTTTTTTTTTTAAAATCATTACATGCTACCCATGTATATTTAAGTTGTTCCCTCAGATAATAGATTAGCTAAATGAATTGCAACAACCATTTTGAAGAATAATATGCTTGATACAAATATTTATTAATTTATAAGTATATTTATATTTTGTGTCATTGCTCAGTCACTCTACTTCGATTTGTCTAGATGTGATTTAAGTGGGTTCAAGTGCTTGCAGAGCATATCAGTCGAAATAAATACGATTCTCTCGATAAGATATTTCTTTCATTCTTCCTCTTAAGTTGCTTGCATAATCTGATTCTTTTTGGGTTATATAGTTGATTGTTGTTTCCAAATTTCATCTCTACTTCAAAATTGGAGGTGAGAGTTTCCTCTCATCTAACTCTTCCTGAATGAAAGGACTAAAAAAGATTGTATTAAAATATACATACAGTTTACGAATAATAGACTTGGAACCTTATAATAATTAATTACAATTGTATATAATTTTTAGAGAATAGCGGAAATATATAAAGGCATGCCTACAAGCAATGGACAATTGAAATGAGAGAAACGTAGATAATAAAAAAGTATTGGATTATTTTTTTGTTCTAGTTTATATACAGTCAAAATAATATACATACATATATATCTATCTGTTAATAAATTTAATACTTAATTATTTTATATTGAGTAAATTTCTACAACATAAAAAAATAACCAAAGAAAATTCTCTCAATGCTAACCTCTGTGAGATGAAAAATCTTTTATCCATCAATTCCATTAATTATTTTGTATCTTGGTAATTCCAAAGCTTTGCATTCTAGTTTCTAGATAATCGTTTCTTTCTCAAAAGTTTATGTTGAAATTATAAAAATTGCATTCTTTTGTTGATTTTGTACATCTACGAGCTCGACTTATTCAACATTCACTGCAAAAACAATTCGTACGCTGTGCTCCTCGCCATCGGTCCATGTAATGGATCCAAAATTGTAACCTACCGGGGCCTCATGTGCATAAAATGAAGCCTTAAAAGAAACCTTTCTTGTACCTTCTTTGAAAGCAATCTTTTTGGGAGAAACTTTGACAATTAATCTATTCGAAGTCTGCACATGAGCCAAGTACGTGGTATTCGGTGATCCCACATTCGTTAGAGTTCTTTGAATTATCTGGACAGCCCTAGACCGATCCAAGCTCCCTATAGAAATAGAGGGGTAATTGATGTTGGAAATGAGGGAGGGGGAAGAGTTTCTTGGACAACTGAAGTTCGTTTTGGCAATAGATCGGATAGTTTTCTTCGAATAATTGTAATAGCAAAGGAATTGAAGATAGTCAATGGCCGTAGTTTCCAATACTAGTCCTGGATTCAGAGCTCGAAAGAGGCTTATTTCTCCGACTCCCATCTCATGTGGATTTGCTGTGTAACCTGAGTTATTTCTAGAAGCCCTCCCCGTGTTGTCTCTCAAAGTTGCTGCACGTATAGGAAAAATAGCGAAGTCAAGGAACACAAGCCAAATAACGATCAATCACACAATAGATGATAATACTTTATGTTTTTCATTTGGGCTTAAGCAAAATTTGATTTTAAAATTCTTAGTCAAACAAAAAATCTAGAGTGTTTGGTTTGGCTTGCATTTGGATAAACCAATCTATAAACTGTTTGATATAAAAATCAGTCATAATGATGTTTAGCTTAGATCATTTAGCTTGTAAACTAATGACTCAAATGGTTAAAAAAAATACATAAATGTCTACCTCTTTCTTTAAACTTACAAGCCATGCAAGAACTTCAAATTTATCTTTTACATTTTTTATAAAAAATTTACTCTTTATTTATATCATGTTTATTCATTTTGTAAAGTAGTTTTAACTTACTCTTTAACCAAATTACACGTGAAATTTACATTAACTAATCATATTTTTAGTTATTTTGTAATAATTTATACTTTCATGAACTTATAAACTTTACTCACATACTAAAAAGAATAAGGCAAACCAATTGTCCTGATAATATTCTCTTGAGCTGTTGTATTACCTGTTGTCATAAGAGCTGACTTGATCATGGAAGGGCTCCAACCAGGGTGCACTGATTTAATGAATGCCGCAGCCCCTGTGACATGTGGACAAGCCATTGATGTTCCAGATCTTATACCGAATTGGGAGGGCTCTTCTCTGATGACAACCTTTCCTGCTTCAGTTTTTGGAGTTATTGCAGCTAAAATGGCAACACCTGGAGCCATTATATCTGGCTGATCCAATACCAAATCTATGTTAAAACCTTAGAAAAGCATTTAGTCTTAGAATCAATCTATGTCCTTACTGTTAATCTTAGGATTACGGTGCTCAAGTTCACGAATGGATTAGATAAGTTACCTGATCTATTAATGTTTCTTAACAAACTAAAAACAAGCAAAACAACGTGAAGATTACCTTGATTTTGGAGGGTTTGATAAAGATGTTTGGGAGCAGAGTAGTACCACTCTTGTTGTGTTCATACTTATATCCGTCTATTTGTATGTAATATTCAGTAATATTTATGAAAAGTTGAATATACAAACCAGGCTTACCTTGAGAATGTTCTCTGTGAGCCCTCCAGGACCTCTTGATGAGAAGAATGCAACAACAGGTGCTGGTTTATATTTTGAAACATTAACTGTTGGAAGGATCGTTGCAGTTGGCTTCCTGATGAGGTCACCAAACAAGTATAAGTACTTGTAGACTTGATCATTTACTATCACTTTAAAACTTTAAAAAATGGATTTGGTTCTACTATTTTATATGGAATCTGTTAAAAAATATAGTTTATGTATAAATAGAACTAAATTAGGTTAAAAGGTATTAAAGTCAAACACATATTTCGTAATTAATTGTAACTTTTATTTTTCTTATTTTTAAAATTTATATATATAGCGACGTATTATTCAATGGGAATACAACACAATTACTATAATTACTCTTGACATAGTATCACTAAATTTTGAAATTCTAAATTCTTTTACAAATCTTATTTGACCTTCGTTGTCTTAAAAAAAAACTTTAAAAGGGTGTCAGCCGTCATAACCAGCCACTACACCAGCCACCACTGGCCTTCATAGCCGAAAAGGAGCCAGGCTATTGGCACCAGCAGCCACACATCAGCAGATGTGCTGCCACCAGCAGCTGCACGACCAGCGAGCTGTCACCACCAGCAGCCACGGTAAAAGCCACCTGCAGGTGTACGCCCTCCAGTGCATTTGCTGCCCAGGTGCTTCTGCACCCTCTAGCCAGGCCTGCCTCCAGTTGCCGCTGTTACACAGCCACCTCTATCCAGCTGCAGTTTGATTGCAGTTGCCACTGTTTTAGCCACGCCATAACTGCTGTCCAGCCACTAAAACCCATATTTTTTGGTTTATTTGATTGACCTCAACTGTCCTAAAATCTAAATTATTTTGGAGACTACATCCCAAACTAATAGCAGAAATTCCCACTTGAGAATTCTGTATAAATTAATGGAGAATTCCAGTTGATCTAGGCTGTCTATCGTTTTGATGAAAAAGACTACTTGAATTCATCACAATCGATTTGGACCATTCTAAAAAGAAAAGAAAAAATCTCATATTCTGGGCACCGGATCAAAGTTGGGAGGCCCAAATTTTGGTGCATGTGATGAAGAAGATTCAGTTACAATGACTTATCTCTGGAACTCAATGATACCAAAGATAAGGAAGACTGTTATGTTTTTACTCAATTCAAAAGAAGTATGAGATTCAATCAGAAGAACCAATTTCAAGGTGAAAGGTGAAGTCCTAATCTATGATCTCACTACAAAAACGTGGTCAACAAAACAGGGAAATAAATCGATCACAGAGTATGCCAACCTATTAAAAAACTGATGACATGAACTTAATCAATATCATTGCTTCACTATGGAAAACAAATAAGATGCCACTATCCTGAAGAAGATGATGGAGAAAGACATAACATATCAATTAATGGCAGAAATCAATGAAGATCAAAATCAGGTAAGAATTCAGATATTGGGAAAAGAAAAAATGTTATCTCTGAATAAAGTAATATCCTTGGTTACTACTGAAGAAAGTAGGAGAGAAGTTATGCTAAAAGCCCGCGCCGCTGACAATTTAGCAATGGCAACTTGCCTCCAAATCACGTCAATAAGAGAAGAGCCAAGCAACAATAAAAACTTGGGAGAGAATAAGGACAATCTATGGTGTACCTTCAGTAAGAAGTCTCGACACACCAAGGAAAAATGTCGAAAGCTCCATGGAAACCCACTACCTCAAGCAAAGAATTAGGGTACAAAAACTCTCCATAGAAGCTTCACAGACTAGCTCATGAAGATAATTTCCAAAAAGAAGAGAAACTCACCGATCTAAGTGAATTCAAGATCGAAATTGAACGACTAAGAAGTAGACTTGAGGACTTGGAGAAGCCCACAGGTAAATGTCTATTAGCATATTCATGCATGTTCTCTCACTCACATGGTTTAAATATCTTAGACAGATCATTTGAGAAATCATAAATCATAAATTCAGGGGTTACTGATCATATAACTAATCCTTTAAAATATTTTTTCATATATTTCTCATGCTCAAGTAGTATGAAAATTGTAACTGTAGATGAATCTCTAAACGCCATTGCATGAACGAGTACCATCAAGATTAACAGTAATCTAGTTCTTGAAAATGTGCTATATATTTGTAAACTTTGTACTGATCTTATATCAGTCACTAAATTAACTAAGGACTTGAATTGCAAAATAACTTTTTTTTTCTTCTCATTATGATTTTTAGTACTAAAACTCGGGATGATTGAACATGCCGAAGCCAGCAACAATTATACTACTTGAATGCAATTGCGCCATCTCTTTCTACCACTACTACATATCCTATCATTAAGCTCTGACTCTGCCACAAACGATTTACTCACCATTTCTTTTTAACTTTAAGATTATGTTTCATTTTCTATTTAAAGACTCTATTGACAAAAATTTACATTGTGATATATGCGAATTGTAGAAAATGTAGAAAATAGTTATTATTCTAGAAGGAAAACAACTGTCATCTCCTTTATTCTTTCTTGTGTACCGTAGAAAGGAGAATAACAGAATTGGTGGTGTGTCACCTACACCAATTCTGAATATTCCCTTAACCCACAAAATCTGGCTCTCCTGCAGAAAAGTTGTTATTCATTTTGTGTATAAATATGCTCATTTGGAGCTGGAAAAAGTAAGCAGAAAATAGAGAAAAAACTTCTCTCAAAATAGCTTCATAATTTCTTCACGAATTACTAAACATACGCGTATAACATTGTGCAGTAACAATAAAGGAAGTGAGTTTTTGTTTTCATTAATATATAATGATATTTGGTGATCTACTCGCATTCCAAATATATTTGGGGCTCGATGGTCTATATCATTTAGTGATAATTGCATCAGAGTCATGTGACTCTTTTTACTTATGATAAAATTTGATTTGGGTCACACAATACCTCAATTTTGCAAAATGATCAAAACCTAGTTTAGAACCCACATAAAAAATCTCTACACTGACAATGCAAAAGACTTTCTTATCATACATTATTTTCCTTTTTTAACTAAGAAAGGATTATTAATGAATTATTATGAGTCCACACTCCACAACAAAATGAGGACGAAAAAATAATCACCTCCTTGTTACTACTTGTACCTTCTAATTCTAATACCATTCCTAAACAGTATTGGGAGGAAAGTTGGCTTTACTGCTACAAAATCATCAATTGATTACCTTCTAATGTCCTTGCTTTTAAAAATTTTTTGAAAACACTTTCCAAATTTTACTCAGAAATCAGTGTCATAGTTCATCTAATCCTTCGAATATTTGGGTATATCGCATTATTCATGTCTATACCTACCGGAGAGGAAAACTTGATTCTAGAGTTTTAAAATGTGCACTTGTGGAGTACTTCTTTTCTCAAAATGGGTACAAGTGCTATTATCCGTTTACAAAATTTTTTATACATTTGCGGATATTACCTTTATTGAGACAAAATTTTATTTTATCCAATCTTATCTTTATGAGAAACCTATGTTGGAAGATAAGGGTACAGATTTTTCAGTGAATCTCAGCTTTCCACAATTACCACCCACGCCAGTTTATAATATTCACTATCATAAGAAAATCCTCATACTCAACCGGCCCAAGAAACCTTACATGACCGAAGATTTGCTCATGTGTATCAGGGAGGAAAAATCCAGGTCCTGAACTGAGGCAGAGTCAAACATAAAAAAACAAGTTTTGGAATTGTGGTAAGTCCCAAAAATCCTACCTAAGAAAATATTGATGCGCCTATTGCAATCTGTAGAGGAACTAGAGAATGCACCAAACATCCACTTTAGTAGTTTGTATTCTTTAAAAAGTGTTTACAATCTCAAAAGAATTTTCTTATGAGTCTTAATACTAAGTCTATTCTTAATATTATATATAAGATGTTATCTTGAGAAAAACAAAAAAAGCCATGATTGTGAAATGTAGGCACTATAAAAGATACGACACGGGACATAGTGGACTTGTTCAAAGGAAGAAAGTCCATGGGTTGCAAGTGGATATTCATCATCAAATATAGGACAAGTAAAACAATTAAAAGGTACAAAGCAATGCCAATAGCCAAAAACTATACCCAAACTTATGGAATAAACTATTAAGATACGTTCAAACCAATTGCAAAATAAATACCATGCGAATTTTGCTATTTCTAGCTACCCACTTCAATTGGTAGTTACAATAGTTTGATGTTAAAAATACATCCTTGCACAGAGAGTTACAAGCAGAGATCTACATGGAAATCCTACTAGGAATTGCTAACGAAACGAGGACAAAAACTTAGCGCATGGAATCTCATAAACTGAAGAAGACACTTTATAATCTAAAAAACAACTACCTAGAATGTGATTTGGTAGATTTGCCAAAGTAATATAGGGCATGGAATATAAGCAAAGTTAGAAAGTTCATACCCCATTAATCAAGTTCTCATATTCAAGGGAAGTTGCTACTTTCTTAGTATATGATGATAATATTATTGTGAAAGGGAACAATGAAGAAGAAAAACTTAGATTCAAGTTCTACTTGACCGAGGAGTTTCAAATCAAGGAATTAGAAAAACTGAAGTACTTCTTGGGGTTGAAGTAGCTTATTCAAAATAAGAGATCTTCATCTCATAGTAGAAATACATAAATTGATTTGTTGAAAGATAGAAATAAACTAGCATGTAAACCAGTTAGTATATTTATTGACCCTAATCATAAATTGTGACACTAGCGGTAGATAAAGGGAGGCTGATTTACCTATTATACACAAGACATAATATTGTTTATGCAGTGAGTGTGGTAAGCCACTTCATGCACAATGCTAAAGAGGTACACTTACAAGCAGCCTATAAAGTATTACACAATCTAAAAAGGTCTAGGGAAAGACATACTCTTTAAAACGAATGATAGGCTGATCTTTGAAGTTTTCACTGATACAAACTATGCAAGACCAATGGTGGACAAAAGCTCTATTACAGGTTACTGTACTTTCTTTGAGGGTAATTTGGTAATTTAGAGAATTAAAATGGAATATAATTGCAAGATTAAGCATAGAGTCATAGGTTCGAGTAATGGTACAAAGAGACTCGTAAAAGATCTAAGAGTTAAGTGAGATGACCCAATAAGTCTTTACTGTGACAACATATGCTAAATAAGCATTGTTCACAATCTTGTATAGTATGATAGGACAAAATACATTGAAATCGATGAGCATTTTATTAAGGACAAGCTAGATTATGGCCTGATATGTACTCCATATGTGCCCACCAAGTTACAACTTATAGATGTATTGACTAAAGTCTTGAACAATTCAATATTCAATATTATCATTCCCAAGCTTGGAACGAATAACACCTATTACCCAACTTGAGGGAAGTCCTAAAGAATGTACTTCATGTATAAATATGGGTAAATAGATAAAAGGGTATAAAGTAAAATACACTTTTTATAATTAATTGTAACTTTCATTTTTTCTTATCCCTAAAATTTGTATATATATAGACATATTAATCAATAAAATACAACATAATTATTCCTGACAGTATCAAAATTAAAGACATAGGGTTGCAATTCTGATTGACATGGTTTTTTGTTAAAATTTAACTTCATACTTAATATCCACGCATTCTATCTAATGGTTAATTCCACTGAACATCTTCACCTCTATCATTTAACATTTGCACTAGTTAATTATCAGTACATGAACTCATAGTATAGTGTATACTGCTAATTAAGTAAAACAGGAAACAAAGTAAAAATTGATGCTTACTTGTTAGAATTCATGTACTTAAGAATCTTGTACCCTGCTTTGTTTCCAACTTCCACGAATGGAAATACACCTGAATCAAAAGGCACACCTTTCTCATCCTCATTGATCAAAATCATCCCTTTGGCGCCAGCATCCTCTACAACCAATTTCTTGATTCGCCTTGATACAGTTGGATCATTGTCAATGCAAAGAACAATCTTGCCACCAACTTTTTTTGGATCCAGTGATCCCGGACGGCAGTTCCTTCAGATCAACACGACGATAATCCAATAATAGAACATTTGAAAGGTTTCAGCAAAAATTCAAAACAGCCATCATTGTTTGAATAATAAAGTTGAACTAACTGGGTATAATCAATTATTTAATACTGTACCAGACTTTGAAATTTAAGACTCAATTTCTTGACTGACATTCTATTTTCTATTAATTCCAATACAAGATAGGATTGACTTGTACTTAATCCACACATTCAACCTAGCTCCTCATACATGAGGGGATTAGCA